TGGGATTTTGTCACGTTTATTCCCGCTTCTTTTCTGACCATTTGCCACTGATCCAGTCTAGCAGTTCTGTCCTTCAGGACTCAGCCAACTTGGTCAGTAATTGTTCTACCAGACTCCTCTAGAAGTCTGATGATTTCTGAAGAAGGGTCTAGGCCCGAAACGTCAGCCTTCCTGCTCCTCTGATGCTGCTTGGCCTGTTGTGTTCATCCAGCTCTACACCTTGTTATCTCAGCAGTTCTGCACACCCCACTTTACGTAGGATATATTTGAGGGAACTTAGAGTAGATTTACCAGAACGCTACCCAGGATGCAGGGATTAAATTACGACAGGAGATTCTGCAAATGAGGATTGCATTTACTGGAATTTATATTAAGTGGTGATTGATCTAAGTTTTCAAGATATTAAGGGGAGCAGAAAAGTTAGATGGAAAACTATTTCTGCAGGTTGAGAATATAAGAATACAAGGCATACTCTGCCTTTTGTGAAGAAAATTAGAAAAAAACCTACATGTAATGGGTAGTAAATTTTTGAAACTGTCTTCTGCATAGCAAATGACACTAGATCAATTATAAAATTTAATCTGATATTGATAAATGTTATCTCAAGGGAATAAGGATATGGGGCAAAGGCAGCAATATTGGGTTATGTCAGAATCAGCCTTAATCCTATCAAACGACAAAACAGACTTGAGGGACTGAGTGACCTCCCATGTTCTGAAGGTGAATCTGAATAACTCCAATTTGAAATTTAAATTCTACCTTTAAATCCCCTCATGTATTTGCCCTTCATGTCAAATTTCCTCAGTTGAGATTATTGGCCGCCTCTTTGTTTTTTGTTCATTTGATTCTGGTTTCCTGTGTATTTTGAGCTTGTTCCACGTTCCTCACTTGTATTGATTCCCCCCTTTAAATCCACCTCTTTTGAACGTTCCTGATCACCCTTCCTAATATCCCAGTCATAGAGGTAAAATCAGTTTCTTGATGACATCTCTGTAATGCACATGAGAATAACCTCAGAATGCTTGAGGTGAAATGGGGTCTGCATGAGTTTATTTCTGTATGGTGATTAGGACTCAGTTGCAACTCTCATCAGCAACAGCAGCAACTTAGATCCTTTAGTGTCAGAAAGCCTCAAGGTACTTCGAGAAGCATTGTAAAATAAAGCATGACACAGAGTCACATAAGAATGTATCACATCAGATGACCAAAACCTTGACCAAGCAGAGAGATTTTAAGGAGCCTCCCAAAGAAGGGAATCAAGTTAGAGAACTGTAAGGAGGTATTTCAGAGCTTAAATCTAGGCAAATGAAGTCACAGCCTACCAATACTACATTCATTGGTTAAAATTGATGATGCTGAAGAGGTTAAAATCAGAGGAATGCAAAGGGTGTGGGACTGAAGATTTCTGAGATAAGGAGGGGCAAGACCACTCCCACTGAAAATTTAAAATAAACATGAAACTTTTAAAAATCAAGATGTTGTTTGATCAGGAGCGAATGTAGGTCAGCATAGAACTTGTTGCAAGTTTTTAAAAAGTTCATTCCTGGAATCTGTCACTGGTAAGGTTAGCAGGTGTTAAGATACAGGCAGTAGAATTTTGTATACCTTCAGTCTCCAGGTAGAATATAGGGCCAGCCTGGAGTACATTGACCTAGTGAAGTCTAGAGGGGAAACAAAGCTGGAATTTGGATTTCAACAGCAGGGGAACTGAGATGAGGCAAAACTGGGTGATGCTAGGAAGGTGAAAACAGATGGTCACATATGAGGAGAGAAGCTCATCTTGGGGTCAAATATGTTATGATCCACTCGAGTAGTGCACAGTAAATCAAACCTTGCTGTACCTGATTTGTACCAAATGTTAAAGTTTTATTTTAAGGCATGCCCAGTATTTCAATTCAAATGACTTTCAGATTGAGGTTGGTGGAAAGCAGGGACCAGGTTTCTGTACCAAATAAGAGTAGTTATTTATTATAAACAATTAGATTGTGGATAAAAGTAAACAGATATAAATCATTGGTGCATAACACACTCCGACAAATAAGTAGAGAAAATAGATTACTGGTGGGAATAGAAAAAACTGGAAAGTCAGTCCAGTATGGAGGTGCTCCTACTTCGGCTGACTAAGCCTTTGGTATTCAGTTGTCCTTTGGAAGCTTCTGATTCACTTTGAAAATGTTAACTTGGAAAAATTGAGTTATCAATTCCAAAGTCACAGTTCACAACAATTGCTGTAGGAAAGGTAACTAGTTTTCTTTAGGTTTAAGCTGTTTTTTCTTAAACTGTAGAGAACAGTCAGCTTCTGTTAAAGGGAGCAACAGTACAGCTGTCTGTGTGAATCTCTAAATTGTTTGCAAATCCAATCTGTGCAGTTAACTGAGAACAAATCAGCTTCACTTGTAAACAACTCCTCGACTTTTGATTGCCTTCATAATACAGGAGCCCTTAATCACAAAAAAAAGTTCACAATAGATATCGAATTCCTTGTAGTAAAATTATGCAGCCATCCTAATAAGTCCCTGTCTTTTTTTTTAAAAGCAGTTGTTTTTCCTTAGATAACACTATTTCTGAAGAAAGGTCCCAACCCGAAAAGTCAACTTTCCTGCTCCTCTGATGCTGCCTGGCCTGCTGTGTTCCTCCAGTTCCACACTGCGTTATCTCCGACTCCAGCATCGGCAGTTCTTACTATCTCTGAGTTGTTTTTCCTTGCAATCCAGTTTTTAAAGATGCAAAAAAAAATAAAAAAAATTGTTACAAATGTGACACCAAGATTGTGAACAGACTAACTTGATGTCCAACAGTCGTCAGTAGAAGAACTGTGTTCATAGTTAGGGGATTGATTTCAAACAGGAACACAAACAATTGCTTCAGTCTTTACAGTGTTCAATTGTGTACCACTTCTATATGATGGGATTAAGCAAATTAACTGCCTGTAGTCCTTTGATAGTCTAACCCTTGAGTCAGATGTTACAAGTGCCAAGAGTGATTTGCTGTTCACTCCAAGCATTTTTCTGGAAGTGTTTGGACCTTGCCTGGCACCTTCTTCTATTAATATGGCAAATAGTACAAAAGATATATCGTGTTCAAAGGATATAGTTGCCTATTTGCTTTTCACACAGCAGTTGCACTAAACCGCTTAAGCACTGTATGGTGACAGGTGAACAGCTACTGACCAGAGTAGCTGAGATTGTTAATGAGTGTGCCTGCACTTGATTGATTTTATGCCATTTATAGCTGGTTCACTTTTCACCGATTGCGTACAAAGCCTGAATGAAGGAATCCGTGATTTGTGTAGAAAGATGGCATGTTTTGATAAGTGTGGCACGTATATATTGTACTCACTATGGACTGATCCTTGAATTATTTGCTTAATGGGTCAAATTGATATTCCACCTTTCCAACTTCAATTTAACTCTCTTTTTTGTGACAGAAATGGGAGGAAGACAATGAAACCTCGTTAGTGATTATTAAAGGAGCTGGAGAAAAAGCTTTCTGTGCTGGTGGTGATATTAGAGGTAGGTCTAGGTGTAAGTTCATTTTATATTTTATTACAGGCAGTTTTTGGATTTTTGTACATTGTCACAATTAATGTACAAGAATGGACAAACCTGCAATGCACATAGAGTAATGACCACAGTCACCAATACCTGCCAAATCGCAAACCTGACCAATTGTATCAAACTCAATTAGTGATTACCTATGAAGTGCAGTTATGACAACACTCTTATGGCGCTATAACTCACCTTCCTATTTTAAAAAAAGGATTGCAGGCTGCATTAATGTATAATTCCAATGTTGTGTAGCTTCTACTGGAAGCATTTTTTTAATGCCAGAAATTCAGTAAGTGTTTATCCCAAGCCACTCTTCTCCAGTTATAAAAAATATTCTGCTCTTTCAGTATAATATGTATATTCTTGTTCAGTGAAACTTGGCTTCTGTACAGCTTCTACCATTAGTGGTGTTACAGAGCTTAATAAGGATGAAAATTGATCCAGCAATCAGTGGCTTTGTAGTCTACCTACAACTGATAGAGCTTAGAGATCCTTTATAATCTGTATTTTATCCTGCAAGACAGGATCTGAATGCCTTGACAAGATGAAGGTCTCGGGTTTATCATGTCTCTTTTAATAAGTTCTTGATTTCTTGGCTGATTTTGCTGTTCCCTATTTAGCTGTTACAGAGGCAGGAAAAGTTGGAGACAGATTGGCAGAAGATTTCTTCAGGGAAGAGTATATTCTAAACAATGCAATTGGTATGTAAATTGGAGCATCATAACTCTGCTGTTAGATTATCCTTAAAAACTGTTTATTCCACTTTCTCCGTCACAATTCTCCTGGTTCTTTACTACTTTGATCCTCTTGTCTTATTCCTGAGTTGAAACCAAGTAACCTTTCTGTCACTTTCCTTTTGGTTCCTTGGAGGTATCCAACAGCATGAAATTATTTCTTAAAAAAATTCTCCTCTTTTGTTCAGAGGTGAGACACAGATTTTCTTGACCATGTTTAAGTATCTGATCTAACCATTTACAGGATGACAGGCACAAACCTGCCTGCATTTTCATGTTCTCAGGTGGATTCACGCAACTTCGACCCAACACAAAGAACCAAGTTAAGTTTGTTCCTTCCACCCATCTAATCTTACTATAAACCTGGTATATTATCCTATCTCACCCCGACAATCTAATCCTTTTTCACTTGAAAATTACACTTGATCACAACTCCTGGAGCACAGTGTGAAATTGCCTGAAGTTTTCTCTGATTTTATGTTTTAAATCTGAATGAAATACTGCAGGAATCTTACTGTTGATTGCAAAAAACACCAACTTGATCAAATATTTGTAAATGTAAACAGTTAAAATGTTTTCTTTAGGAAACTGCCAGATTCCATATGTAGCCCTTATTGATGGAATAACAATGGGTGGGGTAAGTACTTTCTCTTCTCTCTTCTCTCCCGGTTAGTTTGATATGTACTTCAAACTTCAAACTTGTAGTCTCTGTCATGTGCTCAGATTTCTAAATATATAGAAGTTAAAACATAGAAACATGTTATTATTCTAAGCCAACCATGCAAGCCAATACACAAAATACTGGAGAAACTCGGCAGGTCGCTCAGCATCTGTGGAGAGAGAAACGAGTTAACATTTTGAGTCTAGTGTAACTCTTCTTCAAAATGGAAAAGGGTTGGAAAATTGTTTTTCTTATATACTTTTGCATCTCTGTCAAAAGTATATAGGAGGGAATTGGGAGTGAAGAGGCTTGGTACAAAATACAAAGAGACTGTTGTTGGTGGTGAAAGCAATAAAGAAATCTAAATGGATGTAAATTAAGGTTTGAAAGGGAGGGACTGGGTCCTGTATACTGAGTGATATTAAACGTTTGTCAAAATGAAAAAGGGAACACATGTAAGGTTCAGGAAACTGAAATCAGACAAGCCCTTGAGGAATATCGAGGAAGCAGGAAAGAACTTGAATTAGGAGGGCTAAAAGGGGCCATTAAATGTCCTTGGCAAGTAAGATTAAGGAGAATCGTGAGGCATTTTCTCAATATACTAGGAACAAGAGGGTAGCTAGGGAAAGGTAGGTTTACTCAAGGACAAAGGAGGGAATTTATGGCATGGAGCCAAAGGAGGTGGATGCAGACCTTAATGAGTACTTTGCAGTGGTATCCAACAAGGCGAAGGACATGGGTGATAAAATTAGGGAGGGATATGTTGATATTAAGAAGGAGGTGGTGTTGGGTGTCTTGAAAAACATTAAGGTAGATAAGTCCCCAGGTCCTGATGGGATTTATCCCAGGATACTAAGGGAGGCAAGTAAGGAGATTGTTGGGGCCTTGACAGAGATCTTTGTATCCTCTTTAGCCAGAGGCAAAGTCCGAGAAGACTAAAGAATAGCCAATATTATTCCTTTGTTTAAGAACGGCAACAGGGATAATCCAGGAAATTATAGGCTGGTGAGTCTTGCTGATGGACTTATTAGTGTGGTCATGGTAACAAGTTCAGACAGCTGGAATTACAGAATATGAGTTCCCTGATTGGGGCTGTTAATCTGGTCCAATCAGGGAGTCCTGGCTGACATAAAAAGTTTGTCAGGGACACTGACACTCTGGCTGACTCTGTATGAGGCAGTACTATAGTTAAGGATGATGGGTCTCTAGAATTATTTCATTTCAGTATTGTCAGCATGGTCTTGTCTCTCAAATTTTTGAGGGTAGGGCAATGGATATTGATTACATGGACGTTACTAAAACATTTGACAAGGGCCTTCATGGTTTTCTTGTCCAGAAGATTAAGACACATAGAATCCACAGTGAGTTAGCAAGTTGGATACAAAATTGGCTTGGTCATAGAAGACAGAATGTTGTTCTGGAGAGGTGTTTTCTGACTGGAAACCTGTGACCAGCGGTATTCTCCAAGGATCAGTGCTGTGACCTTTGTGGTTTGTAGCAGATATAAATGATTTGAGTGAAAATGGAGTTGGTCTGACCAGCAAGTTTGTACATGACATGAAAATTGGTGGAGTTGTGAATAGTGAGGAAGTCGTCAAAGGATAGAGCAGAATGTTAGATCAGTTGGAGAGTAAGGTGGAGTAATAGCAGGAGTTTAATCCAAAGAAGTGTGTGATTTGATGCATTTTGGAAGGCCAAATGCAAGAGCAAGGTGTACAGTAACTGGCAGGACCCTTAGGAGCGTTGATATACAGATGGATCTTGGAATCCAAGTCTATAGCTCCCTGAAAATTGTAACACAAGTGGATAAAGTAGTAAAGAAAGCTCATCGTGCCTTCATTGGTCAGGGCATTAAGAATAAAAGTCGGCAAATCATGTTGCAGCTGTATAAAACTTTTTAATTAGACCACATTTGGATTGCTACACAATAGGAAGGATGTGGAGGGTTTGGAGTGGGTGCAAAAGAGGATGTTGTCTGAATTGAAGTGCATTAGCTGTAAGGATAGGTTGGGCAAACTTGGATTGCTTTGCTTAAGCATCAGAGGCTGAGGGGAGACCTGACAGAAGTATATAAAATTATGAGAGGCATGGGTATGGTGGATAGTGGGAGTCTTTTTCCCAGGATGGAAATGCCAAATACTTGGGAACATAGGTTTAAGGTTTGGGCGGAATGTTTAAAGGAGATATGCGAGTCAAGATTTTCTTTTACACAAAGGGAGATAGGTGCCAGGAGAGATGGTAGAAGCAGATACGATAGCGATATTTAATAAGATTTAGACAGATGCATGTACTGGCAGGGAATAGAGGGATATGGACCATGTGCAGGCAGATGTGTTCAGTTTTGACATCATGGTCAGTGCAGATGTGGTGGGCTGAAGGGCTTGTACCTGTGCTGTACAGGTTTGTGTTCTAAACAAACACAAACAAGACAAGGCTGTCAAAGTGGTGAGAGGTGAGAAGAGAGAATGTAAGCAAAATAAAGAACAGACATCATGTGGTCAGGCTGTGAAGTTGTGGAATTCAGTGTTGAGTTCTAAGGCTGTAAAGTGCCTAAGTGGCAAATGAGGTGGTGTTATTTGAACTGGCGTTGTGCTTCATTTGAACATTGCTGAGGCCCCAGAATTGTTAGCATGATACAAAGGAGCTTTGCTGAAAAAGTAGGCAACTGAAAAGGTCAGGATCATTCATACAGACAGAGCAGAGGAGATCCACGAAGTGGTCACCCCAATATTGCGTTGGGTCTTGCCAATGTAAAGGAGATGACATTGTGAGATTTCCAGCACCTGTATTCTTTTATTAAAAGCAAATAGTCCAAACTCACGTGCTGTCCCTGTACTTTCTTAATATATTACATGTATATACATTGTAAATGTGCTTTCAAGCATCCTTGCATCATTCATCCTACTCTGCATATTTGTAACGAAAGGTAATGTTAAATAATTGTGCATTGGCGAAAGAAAATGTGTTTGAGTTTTTCAAGGCTTCTCTTCCACTTCCTGCATTGTTATCCCTGGTGACCCCAAAACTGTACTCCTGGTCACTTTGTATTTCACTCATCAATTTGCTGCCCCTATCATCTGAAAACGTAGTGTCACTTTTAACATCCACACTCAACACCCAGCTTACTTCACCACCACTTCTCTTGACTCCGCTGTTGTTACATTGTCCGATTGCTTATTTGACATTCAGTTCTGAATGAACCAAAATTTCCACCAATTAAATGTGTGGAAGATTGAACCCAATATTTCCGGTCACTGCTCTAAATTTCATTTGTCAACTTCTAGCCCCATTCCTCTGCTAGGCAGCTTTTTGACGCTAAATCATAAATCGTACTGTTCCTGACATTGATATTATACTTGATCCTGAGGTAATTTTATGACCACGCGTTCATGCCTTTATTAAGGCTGCCCATTTCCGCATTGAAAATATTGTGCAATGTTGCCTGTGTTTCTGAAATGCTCATCATTCTTGTTACCTCTAGACTTGACTATCCCAGAGCACTCCTGCTTGGTCTCCTTCATTCTACCCTCCGTAAAGTTCAGATCTTAAGTCTGCCTCCTGTATTCCCAGTCTACAGCAAGTCTACTTTTACCTCTTATCCTTGTATTTGCTGACTTACGTTGGATCCCAGTCAACCACACCTTGATTTTAAAATATTTGTCTTTGACTTAAAATTCCTCCAGGCCTCCCTCCTCTCTGTCTGTGCAATTGTGTTCAGCCTTGCAACTCTCCAAGATATCTCCATCCATTTATTTTGGCCACTTGGGCATCCATAGTTTTCATAAGGTCATAAGGAACAGGAGTGGAATTAGCCATTCAACCCGTCGAGCCTCTTCAACTGTTTCATGAGATCTCTGCCTTCAGGTACCTACGCCCTAATAACTACATTTGCTTCATAAACCCCTCTATTCATTTTTTTCTCTTTCAACCGTATAAATGTTCCTTAAAACCTACCTTTTTGAATCAAACTTCTGGTCTTTGGTCCTGACATTTCTTCATTTAGTTCAGTATCAAATCTTATTTGATTTCTAAGGTGCTTCACAATATTTGGACCTTAAAGGTGTTGTTGTGAATAACACGTTGTTACCATTATTTTGAATCTAACACAGTGATGGACCTTTTATAACCAGCAGATGGAGATATTGGGTAATTTTAGAGAGTATGAAGAACAGCATATTACAGGACCTTCAGCCCACTATGTCTGTGCTGACCATGACGCCATTCTTAACTAATCCCATCTGCCTGCATTGTCCTTTTGTACTAAGTTTCTCTAAGTGTGGGTGTTACGTTTAAAGTGGAACCAAGACTAGAGGAAAAAATACACCAGCACCAGTTCATGTATTCTGTACTGTAGGTTTGGGATTATTGGGATGAAGAACTGTTTACTTTCAGCATTTATCTGCACATTTTAGTGATCCTCCAGAAAATATCTGCAGAGATAAGTCCTCCTGTCGAGTTGTCAATGTTAAGTTATTTTGATTTGGCGTTGTGTTTGCACCAGGGCTGGAAATGTTGTTCATTGTGCAGATGCGATGTAGGATCACATGACCAGATTGGTGACATCTTTCAGCAGCTTTCCTTCCGAGCTGATCCTTTTGGTTGTTGCCAACCTTCCCTTCTGGTCACTTCTCCCATTCTCTGACCTTCACCCTTGCTGATCCTTCAGCAAGAGGGGTCAGAGACTATATTTGATATGTGGGAATCCGGGGAGAATGATTGGCAGAAAGGTGAAGAAATGTGGTGTAGGAAGGGGAAGTGAGTAGAAAGAGTTAGCATAGTTCTTTTATATTCTAAAATTTATTTCTGTTTTACAAGTATAGTAATGTAACACTGTACAGTGCTTAAACGTTTTGGGCATGATGTTTCATTCTGGCAGGAAATCTACAGAACTTAAGTAATTCTTAATGGTTGTAATGGGAAAATCTGATCCACTTAATGTTGTTTCATTTAAAGTTGCACTTATCAGAAATGCAACT